TATTGTATATACACAATGTATTTTATTTTATACAACAAATTATTACATTAGAAGATTAACTACATATTTTTATTTTTTTATTTGACGGAATCCTAAAACCTCTATACTCTAGAGTTTAGAGTAATAGGTATCTTTCTCGACGATTCTAGGCCTCACCCTTGTACATTGTTATAACTTCTTAAAGGAGTGATAGCTGCTCGCCGACCACTTAAATTATAGTTTCGTCATAGATGATATACTTCGTCTCGATAGCATTATAGCAATATATAGTATACCTGTAGATTTGACAATATTCAAATAATTAATCCATCTAATACAAATTATAATCATATTATGTCAYATTATTATGATTTCTGTGTATACCACGCCTCTTCGTTTATTTTTAAAGAAATATTAAACAACGTACGTAGTGTACTTGTATTTGTAGTTTATATTGCAGGAGTGTRTGTATAGAGTTTATGATATTATATAATATGGGCGCAACCTGCTGCGGCGTAATAATAATCCAGCCCACTATCTATAATGATTAATTCTTATCTCCGCAGACTGAGTTGTTTGTTTTATCGTTATTTTTTATTTTTAAATCAATCATATGTACTTCATAGTTCTCTTTGTCATTTCGAGAGACGATCTTAATACCATAATAGGTAGGTAATATAATCTCCATCCTTAACATATTTGTCTCTGTACCTATATTATCCACCTTAACACTCTTCTATTTGTTTATATTGATCATATTATCACATTGATAATAAAATTATAAAAATTTATATATTATTTGATGCTCATGTATAGTGTGGCATCTTTTATACCTATTGTATTTGTTGGAGCATAATAATTATGCAATAATTATTGTTTTCTATTAAAATTTGAAGCTGAATATAATTACTTATTTAAATGATTAGTTCCTTCAATGTATGTATTGTTATATCTTCATGACTATTATAAWAATAAGCAATATGCATTGATTAAGTTTATGTGCTTCACCGTCTACCACTGAAGTGTGATGGTATAATATTGTGGATAAACCTATTCGATTACATTAAGAAATACTTTTAATTAAACTAGATTTTACCTCATTAAAGACGATTTTAACACTGTTTTTTTTTTAAATATTTACCTAAAAACCCATACAAGTCAGTAGTCCGTGGTTCGGAACATAAGTCAGCGTCTGCAGTCTCCACCACTTAATCGCTCATTCGCTGCACCTTCAGAATATTATATGTCAAACAAGCGAAAATAACTGGGCGAGCCCTATATATCATCACGCAGGATCGTGAGAATACGATAAATGCTGACACCAATATAATTATGTAGTTATGTACCACAGACTTTAATGTCTTAGTATGGGGGGTACACCAATGTTTTAATAAACAAAATAAAAATAATTATTCAAAAATTAAATAATATCATAATCWCGAAGAAACGCAATCCGATGTGATTATTAAATAATTATCAACGCAGGCTAAAAATAATAATATAATATTAGATACCTGTTATCTATATATTACGTGAAATATATTTTTATGTTTTAGTTTCTAAACTAATCCTTGAACATGTCAGAAGTTCATTTTARTAATATGTTTGGAATTGAAACTAACTATAACCATTCATTGAAACGTACCTCAACTCATCGGTGAATTAAAAGGCGATTGTTTTTATATTTCATTAAAACGTATAATAATTAAGTCTTAATTGTTTATAGGTACACGGAAGAATGTCTCGAATATTTTCCTGTGGGTACCAGCTACTACATTATGTACAAAGTACAAATGTAGACTGTAGTCTATAGTATAATGCAACGATAAATAGATAGACGTTTTGAAAGCACCTCCATAAATAACAAATCAATAATAATTAAAATATTCTTTGTACTCGTGATTAATATTACTATGAAGTTTTTTTTTTTTTAATAAGAGAGAATTATAATGTATTCATTATAATATACATAAATATATATGTCGGGCATGATAGCAAAATGCACAATAGCAGAAGGTAGTGTGGTAAATAATACATTATCTACCTACATTAATACATCATAATAAAAATTAATAACTTTTGAAATTCCAATGCGCATTGATATATTTTTTTCGTGTATATAACAACTGTATAAAAACAATTAGAGTTTTAAAAAAACATATAGTTTTATGGTTCAAAGAAACTATTTAATTTGATTTAAATTATATGTTTAGCATATTCTKTACTCTACAGGTACGGTTGTATTGTGTCGCACCTACATAATATATTTAGGTTCACTTAAACTATCAAAATGTCCAAGGTAAATTTTGTACCAAATATTCTATTTCATATACCATGTAATATGAATATATTACCAATTTATTGATCTAAAAATGCGTTTTATAAACACCATAATTTATATTATTCATATTGTATAAACAAATTAAAGTTAAAATTGTATCATAATATATGTTATTAATTATTGTGTAGAACTTATTTCATCTGCCCTGCGGTATGTCATAAACACAAAATAATCATAAAATAGGTATACGTATATTTCATTCTATTCAAATACTAAATATTTTAATACATTTCACTCATATAAGCATTGAAAGATAATGATAAATAATATGTCATATATATGTACTATGTATGTATACGTATAATATAAATCAAATTAAAATACCATTTGATAATCCGTCATTAATCCGACCATGACTCTATTCTGTTTTTGGATATTCTAAATTCTTRGATTCAAAAATATGTATYGTTGTATATTATCTAACATGGCATTTTTTTCTAAGAAATGTATTCATATATGGAATCAGCGTATATGGCTTATATTCACGATAGGTACGTAATTAAAATAATATAATATTATTTTTAATGAAATGTTACACTGACATAACATTATGGATCATAATATGTCATACATCACTGATAATAAAAATATTATAAAGTAATAAACAATCTTAAGTTTAGTGATTGATGAATACAAAATTATACTTATAGATTATTTGTATAGTGGTCTTTTTGATCGATCAACGAAGTATGTAGTGTGACCCGCAATAAACTAGATGCTACCTAGTACCTACCTACTGGTTACTATACTATATTACCTAACCTAACCTAACCGACCACACTGAAATGCGAACCATAATATATATGGTATATATATAGATAATGTAGGTTCGATGACTGTCGTGTTAACGATATAGTAAACATCTCTCCCTCTCTATCGGTAAGGTTATATATATCTAATATAATGTTTGTGCCAGAGTACATTGTCGCTACAGCGTCGAAAATTATGACTTGTACCTACACATAATAATATTCGCAGACAATTTTAATCCAATGTCGCAGGTCTACGGTATTCAGTATTGGTAGGAGAGAGCTGTAGGTACTGCGCAGTAGGTATTTCTGCAGTTATACTCTACTGCGCGGAACGGAATCGTGTAATTTTTTGCCTTCGTCAATACATTTACACCGAAAAGTTATCTTGCCCGAGGTTATTATTATTACTATATAATACTGTCATCATCATTCGGTATAGGTATTTTGATATTCACTCATAATTATTACCTATTTATTATATTATGTACTGGTGTATATAATTTATATATCAACTATAAGTAATAATTATTAAGTTACTTTAGAAAATATACCTATATATACATACGTGTAGAAAATAATTATTGGAATCTGCTGTGACGAATTCTGAATTGAGACCTTTAGGGGTTCAGGGACAGATACTTGGTTGTAGGCCAGCATGAATGGAAAATAAAATATAGCTCTGTTCCTATTGGGTAAATATCTTAGGTCGCCACTACACTAAGTTAGAGAACCGCTGATGTACACCATACACGAATATTTTAAAGTAGCTTGGTCCAAGAAAGGTCAATGTCACAATCGGGCGAATTTATAATTTTTTGAACAAGTTCATTAATATTTGATCATGTTTCTTGTGTTAGAATGTCTTTTTGATATTAATCAATAAAAGTATATCTACTGCAGTATATTATGTATATTATAGGCTTATCTGCCTAGCTGGACATTAACCACTATTATATTATATAGCCGCGACATCAATCGATTAAGTTAATAAATTTAAGTTTTCAACATTATGTGGAATCGAATATTATTACAAATTTTAATAAAAAAGTTAAGTTATTTAATTATTAAATAAAGTGTTTATTTTATATTTTAGTTTTTGGCTGATGCCAGAYATGAATAATATCAGTTATTAGCCATGAAGAAGGCCTGCAATGTTAAAATAAAATTAAGTGTTTGCT